CAGAGGTCGAAAAGGGGGAAATTACGGTTCTCAGGAGCTTTAATGTTACATAACAACAGAGGGGATTGCTTAACATAGTCTTTAACTAAAGTTGTACTGATAAAACTTGCTGCGATATAGTTTATAAGAGAGCTCATCTAGATTTAAGTTCGATTCTGATATAGAAAAGCGATGTCAATGAATGGAAAGTATGCTAACAAGAAATGTGAAAAAGGGAGTGAGACAGAGACGGAGAGTGTGAAAGAGAGAGAGAGAGACAGAGAGAGACAAGTAAGACTACAGCTGATTGGGCAGGTGCAGCATATATCAACTATCATTCAATAATATCTACACACACACACACACACACACACACACTCTTCTGTCATCGCTTCGGCAAACACGTGATCGATCTTTAGAGAGATGCACGAGAGATGCCAACGACTGGAAGGGTATTGTGCATAGAGATTGGTTAAGAATGAGCCGTGGGCTCTGTCAGAATGCGCCGAACACAAAACTTGGCCACGTCTAGGCCAAATAGTGATAGATGGGACGAGGCGCCACTACACACATAGAATGGTCGGCATGGGGCTGCGCCTGTAGAGAGAGAGGGAGGGAGGAAGGGAGGCCGAGTGAGAGTGGGGCAACACACGCTCAGGTGTCTTTTAGACCAAGTTTTCCGTGCCAAAGTTTGCACAGAACAAACATCAAATGCTGCGCCCAGCCTTTGTCTCGCCCCGCGCTTCATGTGCCAGAGCGAGAAAGAGCGGCAGAGCGAGAGAGATAGGAAACTGGAAATTGAATATGCTAGGTTCTTTTTTGTTTTCCTTTTTTTTTTTGTATATCCTATGAATTTGGCGAGGGGTTGCCTAGATATGGACATAAAATAAATCTTTCTTCTATATGCTGCTAGAGTTAACATCAACTCAAGGGTTTTGCTGGTCTATCTGTCCTGCCTATAGCGATAGTCCTAATGCCAGAGCTGTTGAAACTATCCATAATATCATTGATAATATTGATGGACAATTGATTGACTTTACTCTATGTGGATATAGGGTCTCATTTAGCTGAGACTGCATTGTCCACCTGTCGATTGAAGATTCTCTGTCGTCTCACCTGTCGTCTCGCTGGATCAGGGCTCATCGGTGTCACCTGTGCAGTTAGCTACGTTTTAAGGAGCTTGAACAGTTATCAGTAGTGAATGATAATTGAACTTTTTGTTCCCATTTCCAGTTTGAATATTCCAGGATATCTATTAGTTCGGCCAACTTGCTCGATTAGCTGCTATTGTACTACATATGTAGCACTTGGGCCGCTTTTCATGTTGTCTGTTGGCTGGTTTGTTTGTTTGCCTGTTTGTTTGTTTGAGTTGCTGTTAGAATTATTTTTTCCACTAGCGCAAAGCCGCGCCGCACACACACACATACACACTCGAACACACACACACACACACACACACATGACAGCTGTTGGCTGCATATGTGACGTTCGTCCTGGTGTGTCCTTGTTTGCAAATACATATGAAAAACAAACAAGCATAGATTTAATGCAGCTCAGTACTCTCTCTCCTCTCTCTCTCTCTCTCTCTCTACGTCTCTCTCGCTCTCACTACCTCTTAGACGGCGTTCTCCTTCTGAACATCCTTTGAACAATTTTTGACAATCGCAGCGCATCCTTCCTTCCTTAAGCTGTGTGTACGTGTGTGTGTGTGTGTGTGCTTTGAATGGGGTCTGTGACCCGAGTGCCTGCATGCGCCTTTAAGATTTCAAATATTAGCTCCGCACGCGCCTCGTTGAGCTCCGATTTCATAATGGAATTTTGTTGTGCAACTGCCTTAGCTAACATTTTTATCATTTCAGCCATTCCATCAAATAAAATGATAAAGTTAAACATCGTTAAAGTTAATATGAACTCCTGCTCGGTATTCATAGCCAAGTCTTTATTCATAGAATCTCTGGGAACATTGAGCTAACTATTCTGCCTGGCAATTTCTATATTTTTTACTATCAATCAATCGATTGCTTATTCAAGCTCTTATCTAATCAATACCTTTTGCATATTGCTTGAGTGCGCTTTAATCAATCAGTCAAACAATCATACGTTCCCTCAATCACATCAATCACATATACGTGAAATAGATTTACCAATTCAGTCAAATTAGTTTTCTTCTTGGCCTTACCTTGAGGCAGCCAATCAGTCCATCAATCACCACATATATCTCAGCTCTAACACACTCAGTCAATCAATCAATGAATCAATCAGTCAATGCTTGAGCCCCGCAACTCTACTGCATTTTGCCCGTTTTCTGCCTGCACATTGCTCAGTCAGTCAACCAGCGAGATCCACAGACAATCAGCGTCAATCAAATAAGCAATTTTAATATGTTTTATTTAGCTGCGGCTATAATCAATCAGACTTTCAGCTCATGGGCTCAATTTGCACATATGCATATGCACATGCATATCTATCGAATACAGATGTAAATTGATGTCGGATGTTTGGTTTGCTTGGCATAGACACCTTGATGGGGGATATGTGTATGTAGATATGTATAGATGAAGTGCTGCCAACTTGTTTTATGCATGCATCCAGTGCTGTCAAGTGTCAGCTGACACATGACTTTCTCCTGCAGCCAGCCAGCCGCATCGAACTCTCTGTGCTCGTCTGCAGGTCGTTTAAAGTTTACATGTCGTTGTCGACGCCCAGGACATGGACACGGATCTCGACATACCGCACACACGCACACACACACATACGCACACATTTCTGGCATTCGGTTTGACTGATATATAAAGTTGGCTGCCCCAGCTCCGGCTGAGGTGGGTGCTGAATGATATAAACTTAATTGCGGAAATTGGGTTAAAAAACTTTGACACATGTGCGGGTTAAACAAATTTATACTTCTATATGCGCCTTCCCACAGATACAGATATACATACATACGTATATGGGCATGTGTGATAGCGTGTACATATAGATATTCATGTGTGTGCGATGGCGTTCATTGACTTTACTTAAGCCAGCATTTCGCAGCACTATAACGGGAGCCTGGCGAAAGTTTTTATGCCACGCGTCGCACGGCTTACCCCAAGCGCGCCCCCGCCACGCCCCTTGCGTCAGCAGCCATACCTAACGGCAAGAAGCGCCCTTGAAGCATTCACGCTCCCCGTTTTGTGCCCGTTGTAATGCAATTTTATTTCATTTCATTGAAGGCAAAGTTTTCTCTTCGAATTCTTTTACTTTACTTTGCTTTCCACTCTCTCTGTCTGTGTCTGTGTCTCTGTCTCTGTGTGTGTGGTATAACATATATATTACTTCTTCTCTGCTTCTTTTCCGTTCTTTTTTTTCACTTTCCTTTGTAATACCGCATCTCCACCAACTTCTCGCACTTGGGCTTCTGTCTCTTATGCCTGGCTCGCTGCTGGTTGGGCCAACGACAAATTTGGCTTAAATCGCATACGCCTAACCAAACAGCTAACCTATAGGCTGCCCCGCCCATCCTCTCGCCCACAGCGCCCAATATATGCAAATCTTTGATGTAAGTAATAATTTCCTTCCCCTATGCTGCAAAAACTTTCGCATTGTAAATTATGAGCGTGCGAATATTGCTTTCAGCATTGAAAACTGAAAACTGAAAACTCTCAACTCGACTCTGATTTTATCATGCAAATACATATACACGGAGATATGCGTATGTAAGTTAACATATGGATAACATGAAGAAAGCGGAGCAAGAGATTGAGCAAATGGAAGAGGAAGAGAACCTGTATCCAAGGCAGACATAAATTATAGAACAATAAACGTGTCGCAGCACTTTGTTTTGTTCACCAGTAATATTTCCTTTTCATTCGATTTACGTTTTCCATACATATGTGAAAACTTTTTAATCCAATGTAATCGCAGTGCTTAGATTTTTGTTTCATTTGAAACTGGATCAACTGACAACCGACCCAACCAGCCTGGCTGGGGCGTTTAGGTACTGCAGCTTAAAGATATGTAAGCCGCAGTAGAAATAGAGGAGGATACTCGGACTCAAATATCTACTGGAACTTTAATTAGTGCTACTTACACCCCATAGCTCCATCTCTCGCCTAGTTAGGTATTCTATGCTCGTTATCTGACTTTTATACATATGCATATTAAATATATTATACATTATAATTATATTAAATTAATAATACATATTCAATTGATTTCTGCTTTAATTAGATTGCATAAAATGTAGCAGAACGCCTTATTCCACAAACAACAAGTAAGAAAACATAAGTAGGGTCTGCCAGACTGGAAAGTTTTAGAAACATACTCTGTTAAGGGCGGAAATGCTCCTCCATCACATTGCCTGGTTATGCTATTAACAGCATTATGTTAATAGCATAGCTACTGGCTCTCTGTACTCGGCACTCCGCTAAGTATATATACTTCTATCTTTTTTACCCTGGTCTGCTGAAAAGTCTTTTTTCCTAAATAGAGAAAAGCAGCCTTAAAGTTGAAACTGAACATCAACTGTGTTTTTGCATCATCTCCACTACAACATTCCCTGCCCATAAGGTCTGCTACGCCTTCTTCTGTCTGTTAATCTAATTTGCATACATCTAGACAAGAGCAAGCTACTGCTGCTTAAAGGGCTTTAAGTGCTTGATAAATGTCCAGATATATACATAAGTATATCTTCTTGTAAATAAAGCTTCGATTTTGTAGTATTGTCACAATTGCGTGGCATACCATACCTACGTATGTATGTATGTATGTACATAGCTCTTCGCCTCAGCTTATGCATAAATACATACATACATACATACATACATATCGGCTAACTGGGATTATTTGGCATCAATCGTTCGATTAACGAACGTCTCGAGTGCGGTCTCATGTGCTTTGTAGCTCGTCTGGCAGCACCGTCAGTCAGTGCTAAGTAACAGCTAAATCAAACAAGTTATACAACACTGATGTCATAGATGACTTGCAGTTTAACTTGAAATTCAATCGCAGGAGGCATTGAGCAGAACATCTCTAGTTTGCTCGCTGGCCGGCAATAGTTCTCAGTCTGTTTGATTCACATTCTAAAGCAAATCGATGCACATCAATAATAAGTTTTGTTTATTTAGTAATTGATTCAGAAAGAAAACTGTCTGTACGAGAGAACTAGAGATAGAGCGATAGAACGATGGCCAGCATCACATTCAAGGGTCGTCCCACCGTCGTATTGCGCACCTATCAGGTGGTCCGCATCGGCAACAATGCACAGGACAAGAGCTTGGACTTTTGCCTCGAGGACAAGGTAACAATTTGAATAAGCGTATTTGCCTAAGCCCATCTACATGCATAAGCACTGCGACTCTCTACTCCGCAGTCTGTGGCTAAGCTGCACGCGACTCTGACACGAAGCGAACGCGGCCTGTTCCTGGTCAACGAGAGCAGTTACGGGACAGTCAGCATGAATGGACAGCGCTTTAGCGGCCCCATTTTGATAACCTTCCGTGACGCTATCAATGGCATTGTCTATTTGCGTTTTGGCCGCGTCGAGGCCTTCCTACGCGTCTCCGGCAGCCTGGGAACCTAAGTATTGGGATCGTCCCCAAGCTTGAATTTGGACGAACACTTGCAGGCTCACTGTTCTACAAGTTTAAATTTATGTTTCACTGCGTCGTAAATGTATGTTTCACGAATTATATACACACATATCATCGTTCGCCTCCTTGCCTTTTAATGATGACCTGAGCTATTCGATATTTACATATGTATATACACTTAAGGTCTCTTAGGCACTTATATCAGACTTATATCATAGGCGAACACTAAACACCATGCAAATGTATCGTTCCTTTCAATTGTTTACATACATATACATATACATACATAAACAAGTACATATACATACATATATTCATACATCAAACTTGAATAAACCTGAGCAAATGATCGTAATCCATATTGTGAACATTTTATTATAATAGCAACTCTTAAGTCAACCTAGGTCTTTAATGAAAAGTTATTCAGATTCTAGAAGTAATTACTACGTATAAATCTTCAAATCTTCAATCAAAGATCAATCACAAATCATGAGCATCTATCATGAATCAACAATCAACAATAATCACTTACTAATCATCGATCTACTCCCCAGGATACACCTGTGAACAATTCTCAGAAAGCCAATATGCCCTTCAACAGACCATCAGAAACTACCCAAAACTCAATTGGAAACATGCTGGCAGCACTCGAATGTAGCTTATAGCCGCGGAAAACGTGGCTCAAGCCACGGGACATGAGCAGGGAGTGCTAAAAACAAAGCAAAAAGAAGAAGAGGAAGAAGAGAAATGGAAACGAGTTGGCAGCTTCATCAAGTGGCTAGCGGAGGCTGTTGGCCAATGCAATGCTATGGCATGGCATGTGCCTGTGGACATTTTCGCACTCGCATAACTTTGACAGCATTTTTGCAGCATTACAATTAACTGCCTAGTCGAGGGGCGGCGCGTGGGCGTGGCAGCAGCAGCTGCTGCTAGTGAACTGCATTGCTTGGACAAAGTCGGAGTCTTGCTGGGATTTTGAGCCGCAGCGCCTACAAGCGGGCGTGGCACACATAGTGTGCATGTGTATGTGTGTGTGTGTGTGCGTGTATATGTGTATGTGTGTGTGTGTGTGTGTAAAATTTGTTCCATTTTACGCTTTCTACACAAAAACAATAAATCGCTCACAGCGTCACGTCAACTTTCCTAATGCAACGGACAAGGGCGCGGATCAAGAGGATGGAAAACAGTGAGCCGAAGGGGCGAGTCACAGAGAAAGAGAAAGAGAGAGAGCGAGAGTGAAGGAGAGAAAGAATACGAGGCAATGGGGAGCAAAGCTCACGGATGCAGTCGGATGCAGCAATTGAGGCTGAAGCCATTTTAACTGCCACTTGAATGCTAAAAACAATGAGCACAGCAACTAAATGTATACATATACACACACACGCACTCACCCACACACCCACACACATGAAAACAGAAACTGTAAATTGTAATTTAAAAACTTTTAGTGGCTGCCCTTGCAATAAATGCGCCACGTAAATCAGTCCATGATGTGCATGATAAAAGGTAAGAGCCTTAGGTTACAGGCTTTGCCCGTAAACACACACAAACACACACACACACACACACAGACACACACAACTGCATTCTTCCTACACTCACACACACACACACACATCACCTACTGCCCTTCTGGTTGCCATGCTACCAAACAAATTGGTGTTGACTATCTGCGCCACAAATATTTTATTTTCTAATTGCCAAAGCCAGGCCAGAGCCACTTTCCCACTCTTTCTCTCTATCTGTCTCTGTCTCACTCACTCTTGTTATCTCTCACTCGCTCAAACAAAAGGCATTTTATATAAATGCTGTGTGCTTTATGCACAAGCTGGCATTCGGCAGCATATTTGGGTCAGCTCTATAAACTCAAGTGTGGCTTATTATGGGAATTCCGACGATCGACCCTGAGTTGCCTTTGCAGTGCTTTTCATAAAAAATGTTGAAGAGACTCGTAATTGTTATTAAAAATATTATGAGATATTAAACTCGTTGTCGAAGTTTGAGCTGGAGGGACGGACGAACGGCTAGACAGATGGATGAAAAAATGGACGTATGAACGGGGAAACAGACGGAAGGCTAAACTGAGGCATAAACGGGAGAATCGATATATGGACGGATGAATGATTAGACAGACGAAAGGATAAGCTAACGGACGGACGGGAGAATGAATAGACGGACGGATGAACGGGTAGACAGATGGGAGGATAGACTAATGGACAGACGGGAGATTGGATAAATGGACGGTTGAGCAGGGAGACAGACGGAAGGATAAACGAAAGACTGGATAGATGATGGAAGGAAGAATGCATAGACAAACGGTCAACCGGATGAATAGATCCCGGACGAATAGCTAGATCAACTCATCAAGTTTTTCTGATCAAGAATATTTATAATTTCTACTAAATCTCCATTTTCAACATGAATGCATTATATTTCATATATCTAATCCAATAGTTAAATAGTTCTACTAACTTTCCTTAGAGTCCTTTTTCTGCTCAACCAAGACACTGTACTTCGTTTAGATATATGCTTAAAGCGTTCAAGCTGCGCTTAATGTCTTTTCCGCTGAAAAAAAAAAAACACGACACAAATCAACAAATTCTTTTTTTTTTTCTGCTTGCGCCATGTCACAGACTTTTTTTTAGCCTAGACTGGGTAGCAGATGTCGTTGTTGTTGTTGTTGTTGTTGTTGTTGTTACTACACCTTTGGCAACACACACACACACACATACACACACACACACACACATAGGGAGAGAAATGACTATACGTATGTTAAGCAAAAGTGAAGAAACGTGATTGAAATTTTATCTTTGGTAAAAAATCGAAGAAATATGTATGTGAATTGGGCTTTGGCTGCCGCAGCTGCCCCATCTAACACACACAGGCACACACACACACATATGCTAGGGTGTGTGTGTTTGACTTTTAAATTCCTCAACGTTGGCGTTAACCGTCGCCGTGGCTCTGTGTTATTTGCATTGAAATGTTGAGTAATTGGAAAACCAATCTGAAGCATCTGCACTTCATGTATTGCATACCTGACTGACAGACGCCAAACGACGCGACGCTTCACATTCGCTGTTCCCGTCCCTCTCTCTCTCTCTCTCTCCCTCTCTCTCTCTCTTTCATGCGCTCCACTCTCTCTCTCTCTCCTTTTTTATACTCGTATGTTTTTTAGCTGAAAATCAAGAACAAATACAACACACACACACATGGACACACCCACACACACCCTGTACATACCACACATCATACACAGGCACCGCGACAGGTTGATTTTGCTTCTGGCATGGCAGTTGTTAAAAATAAATTGTTTTTAAATAGCTCTCACAACGGTGCAAGCGCTCCCGGGGCTCAAAGTTCTATGTGTGTGTGTGTGTGTGTGAGCTTACCCTTCTCTACATCATGCCGCTAGTCGAACAGTATAAAAAAGATGCCGTTGCACTAGAGTCGAGCAGGCTCGCCTCTAAAATATCCCTCACCTTTTATACACCTATTATTATATTAAATTCTCATCAGAATTCACTCATTGCGGGACTTCCAATTTCCCCAGCTGCCTAAATATCGTCGGGAATTCTGTTATCTATTAGGCTTTGCTGCCCTTCGCCTACCTGGACATGGTACTCCCATAAGTTCTGCCTGGCATTTGCTCTACTCTCTCACTCTCTCGGTGTCTCCCTCCCTCTCTCTGCTGCTACTACCCTTTAAGCTTGCTTACCCATTTTACAGGGTATATTAGCAACAACGAGAACAACAGCCAAACGCCTGGAAAACGCCGACAAAAGCTAACAATGAGCGTTGGCTCTTCCGTTGGCGCTTCCTGGTTCCTGAACTTATTTGTTTTCAATTTTATTATGTTTTTTCTTCAATTCTTCTCCTCTTTTTCACTTATTTCCCTCTTTAGTCTATGTTTTTGTTTCGTTCGCTCGACAGGTTTGCAGCGTGAAGCTCGTGTTTTTATTACCATTTTGTAGAAATTACTTCGAATAATTTTGCATTCGTTCACAAGTGTCTTACTGCGGACGGGCTTAGCCCCAATCCCTATCGAGGTGTCACAGCTTGCCACGCAAATTGTCTCAATATGCTCCAGCTATTGGCAAGAGAAGTTAACTTTATGCTGCGCTGCGAGTCAGCGTATTGTTCGGATGGAGAATGGATTCCAAAGCAGTTGACATAATAGAAAAAGGTGCAATTCGGACGGACGCTTAATTGCCAATCATGCGTCTAATATCATGAGAGTTAAGAAAGAACTGAAGCTAACTCTTAACGATTTAATTTAATCAATTTAAGTTTGAATAAATTCGATTTGATAAACTGTAATGAGTTTTGCTCAGTTTGTTTTGTAAATCATGAACTGTGTGTCGTATATTGTCATCGTATATCATACATATATCAAATAGCGTATATCTTTTATTGAATATCATAGATAATATGTAGTATATCGTTTATAGTACATCTTATATAATGTATGTATGTATCGTATGTATATAATGTATGTATCGTACATAGTAGACCGTATATCATATATTAAGTTTTGTAAACCGTATATCACATATTCTATATCGTATATGAAAGCAGTATAGTACATTAGATATAGCATATCTCTTGGGATATACTATTAGATACTGTATAACGTATATCATATATCAAATATTGCACATATATTATGTATATCTATTGTCACGGTTACGATATCTACTGTATACTATATATCGTAGACTGTATATCGTATATTGCGTTTGGTATACAGCATATCACATATTCTATATCGTATATATTGGAAGTATATTTTTTATCGTACATCGGATATCATATATCGTATACCTTTGAATACTGTATATCGTATGCCAGAAAATCCTATATCGTATATCAATGATAGTATATCGTGTAGTAAACATTGCCTATTGTCAAGGTTATGCTAGTATATTATGTTTACTAACAACCAACTAAATATTAAAGCAACATCTTTTTACTGCACTTCCAATTTATTTATACTCGAATTTCGTTAATTTTTTCAGGCTAAACATGTATGAATTTATAAATATTTGTGTGTTGCAGGAAAATCTACCGTGAGAATGTGGCTCAGAATGAACATGACCATGAACACGTTCTATGAGTGCGTGAACATAAACTCTATCGGTTAGTATTACGACTTCTCTGTTTCGCACTGGATCGCGTATTCCCATTTACGCCACATGTGCAATGACCTTTTTGGGGAGTTTTGGGTCTCGGTTTTGGAGTAGCTGGGCAATCGTTCGGCTTGGAGCGCACCGGCTGAGGCGTTGGCGGCTCACAGTTTTCTGGCCTCGAATTGATAAGCTCGTCGAACGGCGCATAGTTATCCATTGAATCAAAGCCGTGGTATGAACCAGTTGTATCCTGCGTCTTATTTGTGGATTGAAGAGACGGCCCAAAGCTGGGCTCAGTGATGTCCGAGATCGCAGTGCTGTTCTTACGATTCGATTCACGAGGCGATTGACTGATGGGTGTGCTCTCGAACTCCGGCATCGATATGTCATTTATGGATTGAATGCTCTTCTTACCCGCATTCGAATCCCGTTTTTTGCTGTCCTGGGCACCTGCAACCCCCTGCCCAGAAGTCGAAGACTTCTTAGCCTCTACATCTACCGTACTTGGGCATGGACAATCGGTTGGCGATTGTTCATCTTGATTGTTCCGCTGGCCGGTTAGAGCACTACCCTCGCCTCTCTTCATACTAGGCGATGAATTCGTAGCTCTTGGATCGCTTTTGTCAAGCTGTCCCCGTTCCGAGGCGTTACCCTCCTCAGCGCATACATCGCTGCAAAACATTTCACATGGCTCACTCACATCCATGATATTTGACTCCACATTCGAATAATGCGAATCCATTCCCGATGGTGCGCTCACATCCGCCAAATGTTGACTGGCTTCCCTTAATCGCTCGGATACAATTTTACCGAATCTCGCGCTATTGGTCAGTATTGATGGCTCTGTAACATTCTCGATGTTCTCGCAGTTCAAGGTGCAGGTGGTGACTCGGGTGGTTTGCTTGGACTGTGAACGGTTTATGCTATTCGCATAGGATGGTGCACTGACATCTTGTAGCATTTCGCTAGGATAGGATTCTTCGTTAGTTAGTTTCGAGCACAATGTCGAAAATTGTGATTCCATTCCGGATGGTGCGCTCACATCCGCAAGACATTGGCTTTGCTCCGTAGCCATTTGACCATACATCGTGCTATTGGCCAACATCGATGGCTCTGTAATATTTTCGACGGCTTCACAGTCCAAATTGCAGTTGGTGTATCGGCTGCTCTGTTTGGACTGAGAACGACTTTTGCTAAATGGATATTCGGTTGGGTAGGGCTGACCTCTCGAGTCCAGTTGGCAGTCTACCCGACTACTGACCATTGAGGGGGCAGATATGTCGCCGATATTTTGTTGACTGATGCACGGAAAACTACGAACTTGTCGTGCCGCCGTGCCGCTGTATACAGAATTGCTCGAATTAGCCGTCGGTATCTGATATATACTTTTCATGGCCTGACTGTTGAAGCCAAAGCTGGGAGCACTCTCGTCCTCCAGAGCATCGCATTCATACGACGGCTCAGAGCGAGGCTTGCGCAAATTGGCTGACGATTCAAAGACCGGTGCGCTAATGTTCCACAGCTCCTGTGTGTTGCCACTGCGACCAAAGGAGGGCGGTGTCACGTTGCTCAGACACTCGCTAGTCATTGGCAAGTCTCGCCGACTCGAGGTACTGACAGTTGAAATGTTGCCAAACGATGGCATTGTTACATTTTGAAGGCATTCACTTTGAACTCGGCAGGAGTTATTCATAATCGGCGATTGTTGAACTCTGGAATTGGGGCCCTGCGATTGACTTCGTCCCATACTCTTGGAAGTCATGGTCGCAAATCCACTGCTGTTGTAAGAAGGCGCTGATATGTCACAGATTTGTTGGGACTGCATTGTCGGGCAACGAGCGCATGAGACACCCGATACACCAAAGGAGGGCATACTAACGTCCTCCAAACATTCCCTAGTGCCTGGGCTACCGCGCATCGAACGCTGTTGTCGGCTCAGTGTTCGTGCTCTCGAGACGCCCGATACATCCGCGAATGAAGGCATGCTCATGTCCTGCAGCCGACATTGATCTGAGCGATTCTGGATAGATCTTTGCGCGACTTGTGATGGCATAGTCCTAGTGAACGATGGTGCGCTCACATCGTTCAAGCACTCTGACGGCATGGTCTGCTGTCGTTGCGATGAGCCCGATACTTCCGCAAACGACGGCATGCTTACGTCGTATAAGCACTCATTGGTCATTGTATTTCCACGTCCACTGCTTGCGTACGATACAGGTGAGATGTCACAGATATTTTGGGACGGCATCGAACACTGTTGTTGCTGCTGGTTGAGGGTACGCTGCCTAGACGCACCCGATATTCCTCCAAATGATGGCATACTGATATCCATTATGTAGCCATTACTCATGTCTCCTGTGCCCGATTTGCAGGCATTCGAAAGTGCCATTTGCTGACGATGTGAACTTCCGCGAGAAATGCTCTGCGCAAAGGAGGGTGCACTAACATCGTTCAAGCATTCGGAAGCACAAGTGTTTGGCCTTGAGCACTCCAAGGACGCACCGTATGACGGCATTGATATATCATTCAAACATTCATTTGTCAGTCCTCCTGTTCCGCAGCTTTCCAATGATGGGGCAGAGATGTCACAGATATTTTGAGAGGTCATCGTTTGTTGCCTTCGTTTTGGTGTTTGCCCTCTTGCAGCTATACATTCAGCCGTACTATTCATTGGTCCACGACTACGAGATGCTGGTGTTGAGCTCTTACAAACAGTCTTCGTTGTTATCGATCGCTTTTGACGTATTGGAGTTTTCGCTTTTGAGGATCCCGATACATCGCCACAGGTAGGCATGCTAATTTCATCTATGATCTCAGAAGTTGTCGTTGTCGTTTGACATTTTTCCCCGCTATCATTTTGCCTTGACCTTTGCCGACGTTGCGGTGACCGGCTGCGCAGCGTGCTGTGTGCAAACGACGGTGCACTAACATTGTCCAAACATTCCGCGATTGAAGTCCGTTGCCTTCTGGATGATGTCGATACCGCTACACCTGATGGCATTGTCACATTTTCCAAGCATTCACTTTTCGATGCACAACGTCCACTGCTATTAAAAGATGGAGCTGATATATCACAGATATTCTGAGTTGCCATTGACTGCTGCTGGCGTCCGCTACTAGCAAAGGACGGTGCCGATACATCACAGATATTCTGAGAAGGCATCGATTGCTGTTGCTGCCGCGTTGGAGTCCTGGGTCTTGAAGCTCCAGACACTCCACCAAAGGATGGCATACTCATATCCTCCAAAAACTGACTATAAGAAACTTCTTGATCACAGCATTCGTTATTCATTGTCCCACGGCCACTACTAGCAAAGGACGGTGCCGATACATCACAGATATTCTGAGAAGGTGTTGTCTGTAGCTCACGTCCACTGCTAGCAAAGGACGGTGCCGATACATC